GAAGAAACACTTCGAAATCGCTGGACAGCATTGCGAGTCAAGGCTTCTGAAATTTGCTTCGAGCGTGATAGAACGGCATCACAAGCATCCACACTCTCGTAGCGTAGGTCCTCGGCGTTGCGGTGCAAGAAATGGGCTCTCTTCACCACATCTCCCACAATCACCTGTAAGTCCGTAGAGAGGCGACCGTATACCTCAGTCAGGCCGGTCTGAGCTGTTTGGATTTCCTTGGCGAATTGTGAGGAAATTTCCTGTGCGGCACGCTTCCAATTTGCGATCTTCAGCCACGGAGTTCCGAAGTCAACAGCCATGGTCTGGCTGATTGGCTGTCTTGACTTGGTTGTGATCGTCAATTTGACTAACCCGTATGCATCCTCGCGGTTCAACTTCAGCGTGTAGACACCATCAAACAGCTGTGACAGCTCGTATGTGAGAGCCTTGCTCTCTCGGTGAACGCTCACATTGAATTGGGGCTGTTTCTTGGATGATGCAAACTTATGTGGGGGTTTGATGATAACATGGCAGTCTCCAACAACTTGAATCTCAAATTCGTTCGTTGTTCCCCATGATTTCGCAGTAGAAATAGTTGGCACTGTGGCCTCGGGTATTGGATTTCCCGAAGGCACATGCAATAGTCGCATAGACGATGACGATCGTGTTGAGATTGAGGGTTGTGCCACTCGATTCAAGGTCAGGGTGGAGGTCGGAGAGACGTAGGATGCCACTGGGAAAGATGCATTGGATATGGCTGATCCGGCAAAGCATTGTGCTAGGAAGACTATCAGAACTTTAACAGCCGCATACCCAATAGAGATGGCAATGGCCGAAATGAGAGTCAAAGTAACTAAACGCAGCGTGGGAGCCAGCTCTCGGACCCGTGCGGCATAGGAAGGCGGGAGCCAATCACCGGGATACTTCTCTAGATTCGCAAATATGTTCCTCTGGAGAGGCTTGGGGGTATCGGCAGTGACTTTGTACCCCTGCTTTGGATACAGGCCGACAAGCGAAGCCAGGTTTCGATTCAACTGACCAGGCGTGATGCTCTCGAAAGTCTTCAAATCGATAGGATACCGTCGAAGGACTGCGGTCTCCCCGGAAACTGGATTGCGAGACTCCAAACATGTGTGCAGACTGTTGTGGTTAAGAGGTATCACCTCTCCAGCCATATTCCACGGTGGCTCCTCGGAAATCACCATCGCCGGGACTCCATGACGTTCCAGGAACATGTGGGCAAGACGCTGTGTCTTGGCGGCCGCTGCATCATCGAGGCCGGAGACAAAGATAATTGCCACATCTGGGAGGGTCCAATCTGTTGCAGATGTTACATGGTAGTCAGACCCATCCCAGGCCGAAGTGCAGACAGGTCGATTCTTGAACTTCAGATTGAGTGTGCTGGGTCGATCCGCGTGGGAATCAGCCGTGGCTTCCAGGCATTCGTCAACTACCAGCTGGACATGAATCGGGAGAAGTTCCGCAAAGTTGGGAACAGCTCCGGCACCAAATGAGGTTGGCACAACATGATATCGGGAAGATTCGGCCGAGCTGGGCTCTGAGCCAGCACATGAGCTTGATACCAGAACATCGCCGATCTTGTCCAGAATGATGTTTCGGAATCCCGGTTGTCCGACATAGAGTACGCGGAAAGGTTTGTCCAAGTCGAGGCTCTGCTTCGTCATGGTCTGTTGCACCGTGGCCATGAGGACGGAGTCGGTTGAATTGAAGGGCAGCCGACTCTTCAACTCTGAGGCAGCAGCACCTTCGAAAATGCGGATAGTATGCTTGAGCTCCACTCTCTCGATCTCGGGCCACTTCTCAGGCTCCACAAATTCGATCGAATCACTGGTGCGGGGGAAGGAGGGCTTCGTGGTCGTGGTGCTGTCATCGATCGTGGTTCGTCTGGCAGCAAAGAGAGCAGGTAGCTCCTGGGATGCTGATTCGGTGCACTGCACTTCACCCCTATCTATCCCATCATCCTCTTGGTTGTCTTCATCCTGTGCCTCGGCCTCGCTACCACTGTAGCGTCCATCGAGGCTTGAAACGTCGTCAGGACTGGCCTGGTCGATTAAGGAGCATGTATCAGTTTGTTCGGAGTGACTGCCATCCTCTGAGCGTATATCAGACACGCTCAGAGTCGCCCAGCTATCACTCAGGGTCTTGGGTGAATGATCAGCAAGTCGATCTGACGTCATATTGGTAGGCCGTGAACGGGACAACCACTCCTCGACAGAAGCTGTTAGGGGTGGAAGAGTCGGATATTGTAAACTCGAAGCAGTCTGGGCACGGAGAAAACGCCTATGAGGCGAGTCTGGATCGTCAGTCATTTCGTGGATGTAAAGTTCATAAAGCGGGTGCGGCGGAAACAGGAGCTTAGGGATAGCCCAAGTTGCGGGGAAGTCAAAAAAAGCAGAGTTAGAGACAGGGAGATATAAAGCAAGGGAATAGAAATAGAAGGGAAGGGTCGGAAGATACTGAGAATAGGCAGAGACTCAAGCCCAAATGGAGCGATAAGGCCCACGGGTGGGTCTGCGGGGAGCCAGATGTTAGGAGTCAGGTGCGTCTCTGACTTGGGAAGGGCCTAAAGGAAAAGGCGTGAAAACGTTGAAAGACCAAAGAGTAAAGAAACGTGAAGGTGAAGGGACATAAAAAGAGAGCTGAAACGTAGGAAGGTTTGATCAGGGAACGTGTGTTGCGATAAGAATGACCCAAGTGACAGTAATGGCGGGGTAGTACAAGGTACCTGGATGTAATATGGTGATGCCTGCGGTGATGGTGGTACTAGGTACCAATACACATTGATACCTAACAAGTCCGTCCTTTGTTTGCTCTCGATGCACTCCAAATGCACTCCACATTCAAGAAAGAGTCTCCTAAACCTATCACATTTCATTTCTTCAAGGGCTTATACTTCTATATTTGAGAGCTCCACTATGCCCCACCATGATCAGCCGTTAAGCGCTACGGAGTATACACTCCTTTGATACATTCAGTCTACACGGAAAGATTATATAAAAAAGAAACTATCTAGGATTCACCTCGCTTCAGTTACCCTCTTAAAAGCAGTGTCTCACCATCCCGAAATCCCCCTTGCTCAGCAAGACCCATCGGCATACCTGAAGAATCCCTGCAGGATCCACCCGCTTCTTACACAAAATACGAACGCCAGCATCACGGCACGACTGCACAGCGATATGGCTGGACACCAGACAGCCCGGGTATGGCGTCTCGGGATCAAGATCAACTTAACAAGAGGCGAAAATTATCGTCATTGAGCGTCTGGATAGCAATTTGTGAAGTAATGAGACCTGAGTTAACCGTCGTCGACCAACATCCTTATGCATCAAAATATAACCATATTTTGAATGATATTGTAGGAGTAGCTGTGAGCTTAGTCTGGATAAACAACAGTTTCAATCAGGTGTTGAAGAATTACGGTCATCTCCAGCTAGGGTGCTATAAGTCTAAGGGCTTCGTGGATATGTCTTTAACGGAAATGTCGGCTCCGTGAGCAAGGTATTCATTCTCGGTGGCAAGTTTCCTATGCTAAGACTCAAGTGTGGTCTTTGCTGCAAGCAGGTGTCTAAGTGGATGAGCTTCGCGGAAAGTGGGAGTGTAAGTGGACAAGGGCAAAGGAAGAAAAACATGGATGTGTTCTAAACTTGAGTCATGGGGATAAAATCCTCGACTGTTACTAGGGTTTGACCAAGTCCCCTCGGTTCTGCACTCTTCACTGTACTCTCAGCTAGTTCTGATGCAGAATGTATCCAAGAATTGATTTCACAGCTCTTTTAATATTTATTGAGAAAAATTGGGCTCATATAGTGCTCCAACACGGGAGAACTCCTGACAGCCCATATAGATACCAACAAGCCTCGACTCACTCGGGGGCTTGTATACTCTGTTGCGTTCTGACGGCCGTTCGAAGCTCTCCGCGGACGCATTATTCTTGAACCACACCTCTCGCCAGTAAGAACGAAAGATACTGCGCCGGTCACCGGGCGGATCAATGGAAAGCTCAAGCTTCTCGTACCGACGTCGGAGCTACTCATTCCGTTCAACCTCAAACTAGATTTCAATAACTTTGCGGTATGTTTTCTCAAAAGAAACCAGCAAGCTAACAATCCGAGCACCCAGTGCAAAATGAACTATTTGACGGGCCTCGGTATCGAGCTCACCTGTGCTCGGTGTTTTACCTGACATATAGACAAAGACTAGTCCGACTACTCCTCAGCTGTGATTATGCTCTCTTGACAGCCATCATCATTCCGCCTCTCAGAGTAGAGCTTCTGTGCCTGGTCAAATGGAGGTGCTTGTTCGAGGACCGCGATTCGGGCTTTTTGGCGGCTTCCATTCATAGAAATTACAGCTCAGACGCGTTCGCACGTCACGTTGTCAAACTCATTCAAGAGGTCTGCCAGCATACCAACCCCACAGAAAGGGCAGTAAACATAGGGAATTAGAGGCATCGAGATAGGGATTATGCGTTTCCGGGTGTTAGTGTGCAAGGTCAGATTCAATAATTTCAATAGTAGCATCCGGAGATCTGAGAAATCTTGGTATCCCCTAACAACAGATATCACAAGACCGAACGTACTTGTTTTGGTCTCGACTTGCCAAGCCCGTGGAGAAGCTCTTGAGTCATGCTCCACCGGGGCCCGCTATCCCATCGCTATCCCACCAAAACACCTATATTTTTTCATGTCATACCTGCAGTATAACTGTTTATAATCACATTTGGCTCTATCGATCTTGAGACATTTGGCTTGAACGGCCTTTATTCTGTTCAGCCTATTGCTCCATCCGTCGTCTCCATCACTCGAAGTGATTCCTGCTTCCGATGACAACACAACAATCCCGTTTCCAATGTCACCTGCCCGGGTGTGGCCTAAGCTATCGACGGAAAGAACATCTCACCCGACATACTAAGAGTCACTTTCAACCAGACTGTTTCGAATGTTCCTTCTGTGATCGCACTTTTACCAGGAACGACACGCTGCGGCAGCATGTCCGCACTCATCATAAAACCAGACAGCTACGAAACTCCCGAGCAATCCAAGCTTGTGTCTATTGTCGCTCGCGACGATCAAAATGTGACGGACAATCTCCCTGCGACGCTTGCTCCCAGCGAGGAATTCAATGTTCATATGCCCCAAACTCACGAGGCCGGGTATTGGAACAAAACAGGTCTCGAAAAAGTTCCCTACCTTCCGTAGAACCAGCAGTTTCTATGCAGCGTTCGGAAAGTATCGAGAATAGCCCGTGTAGAATTGCGCCATATATCCAGGCATATTTCGATAAATTCCACCCAAAATGGCCATTCTTACACCCAGCGACGTTCGACCCCAATACTGAGCTGAAATTTCTTACCCAATCGGTGGTGATGATGGGCTCGTGGGTAATGGCGGAAAGCAATACGCAAAAGACTGCAAAAGACCTACATAAAAGATTAACCTCGTCGATATACGAGCAAAGAGTTAGTTCAGCCCTATCTTCTATCTCTCCACGTTTCCCTTCTTGTTATTAAAGAGCCAGTCAGGAAAAATGGGCCATATCCAATCACCATGCCAAATCACACTCTGAAATATCCTCATCCGATCCCACACCATGGCCGGTGGCAACATACCAAGGAATCCTGTTACACCTTATCTTCTCCCTCCTCAACCACGACCGGTCAGATCTACAATTGACTCAACTTCTCCCCGAGATCCCCTCCCGGCTTCTCGCTTCCCTCGTACGCAGCTGTTTGAAGCGGCACATGTTCTTCTATCCTTCAATACTGGCCCAATTTAAACAAGGCATTGACCCCGATGTCTTTATCTGGCTTGGTATCGAGGAAGTCAAGCGCTTTGACTTGTCCTTGTACAGGGTATGCAGACATTCTCGGGTATGCGACACGACACACTTAGAAGACACATCTAATTTGAGCCCTCGGTGTGGACCACCAGCACCAGGTGGAAAACTTCTTTCTCTAAGTGACCTGCAATTCGCGGTGCCAGACAGTGATGAGCTCTGGCATGCGACTTCGGACTTGGCAGCGAAACTTGCAGGAAATGAAAGCGCGTATACCAATAAGAATATTGAAGAGAATTGGATTTCTCAGACTGCGCGACTTTTGGAGCCTCGTGATCAGCAATTTCAGTGGATATAATGATATATCGATTCCAAGGGTGTTCTGTCGTGCATATACCATCTTTCACTCGTGAAACTAAATGTAGAAGTATCAAATAGCCGGCTCAATCGCTAAGCTTTTCTTCCTAGATATGTTTTTTTATCGTTGCCGGTGCGCTCAGCGGTTCCCTCTCGCTCTTCTTGAAGGTGGAGTCTCTCCATTATATATTCCCACAACTACTGACAATTCTCTATCCAGTGCGAGAAACTGTTCATCGAAGCGGCAGCCGGGGGGTGCCTAGTATCTATATTTCGAGGCCTAAGTAAGAGATTTATTTGCTGCCATACCCTAAACATTGTGGATATGGCTTGCTGGTAAAATATATTTGACCATGCTCTTGAAATAGACCACCAAGTATAAGAAAACAAAAATAACATGGCGCATTTAATCCTCTGTCATCCCCGCTGTCGTAAATTCCGTCAACTACCCTGAACCAATTCTATAACCTGAAGATGTGTTTCAGCAGCCACCATTCGAGGCGTCATCACCAAGACATCCATACAGTTCAGCTGAGAGATAGAACGTGTTGGACCGTTTGCCGTCTACCTTCTCCTTCATACCAACCCAGCTATGGATACCACGACCAGCCTCCAACGGCCGGCGCTGTACCGCGCTAATGGCATTTCTATACCTCTCTCGGTAAAGCTGAGGCGCAGAAATGGCATCCATGTAAATTTCGATGCGATCCTGCGCTTGGGCGTCATTTGCTGCGTGACAGCACATTGGGTAGAGAACTGTACGGGCCACTGGCCGAGATGGGTCTTTATTCTTGAAATGGAAACAGGATACCCCAGGTTCACCACGGTACGGCCCAAGCGAGCCACCAGCCATAATCGAGTAGAACTGCTCGATGTCCTGGACACTGGAATTGGGATCCATTTTGGCATGCTTTTCTGCAATTTGCGTCGCAGACGCGCCAGGGTGTGCAACGTAGACCTTGGCTTCGGCCTCTTCTGGGTTCGGCGACAACCCAAGTGAGAAGTAGATGGGATAGTCGTCGTCAGACATCATGTTCTCCAGTAACTTCCAAGACCTGGCTAGTCCCAGACGCTCTAGCGCTTCTCGGGTCACGTTGAGGGCGTTTTGCCTCCCGGAGGCTAGTGGACTCAGGTAAATCTTCCACTTTTCCAGTGTACTTGAGGTAACAAAGCTGTGCCATTGGGCCAGCTTACACTCGGGGTCTGAGGGGAGGAACAGGTCTCGGACGAGATTCAGGCGATCCAGGGAGACCTTTGTGGGGCCGTACTCTGTCCCTATATCTTCGGTCAAGCGTGAGGTTCTTTCTTGGAGGGCGGCTAGGCTGTTTTCTTTGGGCTGAGCCTCGATCAAGAACCGCAGCTCAGATGCTCCAGTCTGCTGGGACAGAGCCAATGAGTACTCAAAGGGCGAGTGGTCATTGCTCACATCGGAAACCCAGGCCGATGTGTCCAGCTTTTGTGGTATGGCATCTTGACACCATTCTCCCCCGGAAAACTTCAAGGCGTATAGCAGCTTCTCTCGCGTGGCGTCATCTTGTCCAATGGCTTTAGAAAGAGCTTCAACTTGCCGATTGGCCTCGCTAAGATAGTTACCACTGATCACCTGCTTCATGGGGGCTGGAGCAGGCGTCGCCGGTATGGTAGGCTTGATTGCCGTTGTGGTATGTTCGTACTGGTAGGCGAACTGGTGACTTTGCGGGTACAACCAGGCGTCTGGCTGCTTCTGGTCCAGGAGAGCCATATCTGATGTAGAAGTGCGGCTATCAACGTTATTGTCAACTCTAGGATGGGCGCTGTGTATGCGACATATGTATTCGGCAGAAGATAAACTTATATAGGATTGAGATCAATGCTATTTATAAATCATTCTCCGAAATTCAGTATAGACAAATAAATTGAATTTCGAAAACTACCTGTAACTATCAGACTAGCCAAGACGCTCTTCACAGAGAGGACTTTCTAGTGGAAGCTGGGCGCTTACTTTGTGCATATAAGAAACCGCCTCTGTCAGATACAGTCAGACACGGCACGGCACGCAATATATGCAATATTTGCTACATAGTTGGTTATTCTTCACTGATCCTATAAGGACACCGCAGACCCCGCTGGATCATGTGCAGGACAAAACAAGTAATCCGTTGCTAGCCGAGATGAAAATTCATATCGAAATATATAAGGTTAAATTAAATGTGCATTGCTTTACAGGCTAGGGTGTCTTTGGTACCTGGTTTTTCGCCCCCAAGCACTAATACCTAGAGCCTTCTGATTGGGAATATGGTCTCCATTGCAATATTACCACATGCAGGTCAGACTGGCATATTGTTTTACTGCTAATCTCCCAATTCTAAGATATATGTTAACTCTTCGGGGCATCTATAAAACTTTGTAGTACTCGCTCTCAATTAAGGTGGTGAATCCATATCCAAATACCACATACGTAGGGCATAGTACCAAATAAGCAGTTACATATTATCTGCAATTATAGGAAGTATATATACGTCATATATTAAACTGTAGCGTATTAGCGCTTAGGCTATCCACTTGTGCATGATATAAAGCCACCAACTGTATTCTAATGACACCTTCCTGACCTGTCTAGCTCTGAGCTAGGGTAAAAACAGGGAAAATGCCCCGCTGCTATCAAGATATACTAACTTTAGATTGGGAGGGTTGGATTCTGCTCTGCAGCCGAGATCAATTCATTCGGCGGTTTATTTGTTCAATTCAGGCCCTCTCCGGAGAGACTATCAATTGGAACCTCTAGCGGCCAACAATTGTATATGTTTGATGATCCGGCTCAATCGATATAATGGAAAGCATGGACATGAATCCAATTGGAGCCATTGTCCACCCATCTGCCTTGGTGCCCCGGCCCTTTGTGGGATCGGCGAGTGTTCTATGCACACTTACTCCGTACAGTTAGCCTTATTGCACTACAGCTTTGGTCTAAATTCAGCCACCTTCCAAAGCTTCACGTTGATGATTGGAGTGTATTTGGTTTTGTGTTGGACCGACTTACCCCTCTTCGAACCTTCAATACTGAGACAACATTATATATAGCGCACATGCCAAGTACGATGCTGCAATCAACGTTCAGCTATGAGACTCCGCATGTAACGATCGCGAGCCACTTTTCTCGCTGTTTCTACGCCATCGGATCCTTGGGGGCCTAGAAGGGCTAACGAGTTCCCCTACTGCCAATAAGACTTCTTTGCCTATCATTGGACAAGAAATGCAAAGCAACGTGGACTGTGGCTGTGGGGGTGCCAAAATTCCTTGGTTACAACAACTAAGGTAACATTGTATATAACTATAACTAGTCTAAAAGTACAGACCTATAGCTAGTTCTCTTTCTAATTAAAATCAAACTTGATCCACAACACACTCCAAGGTTATTCATGTGTACCTACATGATAGTAGGTTAGATACAGAGTGGTATCTAAATCAGGACATAAAAGCCCATGTAGGTATTCGAGTCATCAGCAATTCGACAGCTGAAAACACATGAACTTTATATACCGAAAATGTCTTGGTTTTTATTACTTTCATGGTTCTGCCTAATATTATGCTTGGCGGTTAAAAATATATTTGGATTTGACCATGTATATATATATATATATATATATATATATATAACTAATCGGTTGTTCACGGGTAGTTCACGGGTAGTTCACGGTTGCCAATCTGAAATGTTGGCGGGAAGGAAAGCGGGTTGTCTATACACCTGAATATTCAAAATTTTGTCCAATGAATATCCTCCTGACTTTGGCCTTCAATATTTCTCCTGTGTCAGCACTTGGTCAAAATTGGCCATTTATTGCGCTGAGATGAGATATGTGGCGTCTTACTGATGCGCCAATCACAGGCGCGCCGCTGATTTTCACCCAATTAACTGCCCCAATGCCTAATGAGGCTCGTAGAATACATCTCAGCTCCGGGGGTTGCTTGTCAGCTCGCCAAATTGGACAGGGGCCATGATTGCCTGCCTTCTGGTTTATCTTCTCCTCCAACCCATGCAGGGTAACTAAACCTACTTCCATCGACACTCTAAATCTGGTTGGTTATTCTTTCAATTTCGATGTATCCAGCAACAATCATAGCCATCGCCGGGCTGCTTATAGGCGCCTATATAGTCACACGGCGTAAATCGACGTCTTTGCCCTTGCCGCCAGGCCCCAAGCCACTGCCAATTATCGGCAATGTCCACCAAGCTCCCAAGTCCCACGGCTGGCTCACATATCGCGAATGGAGCAAGCAGTATGGTCCTATTGTTCACCTCAATATGCTTGGACAGCACGTCATCATTTTGTCTACGTCTGAAGTAGCCCACGAACTCCTAGCGAAGCGTGGAACTGCATTTTCAGACCGACCTCGTCTTTTTGTAAGATTCTCCTCGAACTTTCCGTGGAACATGAGCTAATCCAAACTATAGTTAGCAACGGAGCTGGCCTTGAAAGGACTCAACATTCTCATGATGAATTACACCGAACAATTCCGACAGCATCAGAGGCTACAGGTCTCGGTGTTGAACGCGACACCGGCAGCCGCCTATCTCCCTCTCCAGACTCTAGAATCAGAGCAATTGATACATGATCTCCTAGAAAATGCCGGCGGCGCTGGCGCTGAGGTTCATGGACATTTTCAACGCGCAGTCGCTAGTATCATACATACGTTGCTATATGGCTTCCGTGTCAAAGATTACAATGACCCGGTTCTTCGCACCGTTGTTAAACTTAACGATGAGTTTTCCCAGTTTGTTCAGGTTGGCGCGCACATTGTCGACCAGTTCCCCGTGCTTAATAACCTGCCCGGCTTCTTGGCCCCATGGCAGGCAAAGGCGGAAAATCACTATACGACCAAGCATGATCTGCGTGACAAAAACTTCCGGCGGGGCCTGGAGTCTGACACATGGAATATATCAAAACATCTTAAGAAGACCGTCGAAAAGGATGGCTTGGATATGCCCATGAACGAGCTGGCGTTTGAGCTTGGTACCATGATCGATGCCGCATTAGACGGAACTACAGACAGCTTAGTCTGGTTTGTAGTGGCTTGTGTCACGCAAGACCAGGGCTTTGTTGCCAAGGCACGCAAAGAGCTGGATGCCGTTATCGGTCATGACCGACTCCCAGTCCTAGATGACAAGCCCAGCCTGCCGTACATCACCGCGATTGTCGAAGAGATATTCCGTTGGCGACCCGTTGCCCCCGAGGGGGTCCCTCACTTGAACAAGGAAGAGACTACCTACAATGGATATACCATTCCCAAGGGATCTGTTATTGTACCGAGCGTTTGGACAATCTCCCGAGAAGAGTCCTTGTTCGGCCCAGACCCCGACGATTTCATACCGGATCGCTGGCTCGAAAAGGACGGCAAACAGCTCAAAGGCCTCCCCGCTTCCGGCTTTGGTTACGGAAGGCGGGCCTGCCCTGGGCGGTATTTCGCCCGCAATTTTATCTGGATCGTCGTTGCCCGGCTGATATGGTCATATGATATCAAGGCTGGTCTGTCTGAAGAGACGGGCGAGCCCGTCGTCGTTGACCCTTCTGCATGTACGTATGGCCTGGTTATGCGAGCCCTGCCTTTCAAAGCTTCGTTTAACCCTCGTGGGCCTTGGGTGCGTGAAGTAATTGCCAAAAATGGTGACACTTATGGCAAGGATCATGTGGCCATGCTCAACCAAATTGGGGCAGAGTTTGCTAAGTTGTAGCGAGCCCTACTCCCTTTCTGTCTCTCACTATACGCAAATGTACAATCATGAAGCTTGCTTGATCTGAGTACCACTCGCGCGCAAATAGTCGGTCTTGCTACGCCGGAGGCAGGTGGGCACTACAATCCGTTTCTTATAGTACATATCAATGAAAAGGTAGATACGCTGCAAAAACGCTTAAATCGGATGGCTGAAGTAAAATAGCCTGTTGCAATGATGCTTGGAACTTTCGAACCGAGCTCACATGTACATTATTTACATCTGGTCCATTAAAATCTACTCCTTGCAAAAAATATTGATTATGCATAGATATGATGGATAGCGTTTAGCATGAGCCCGCCCACCTGCAAGCTCGGCCGACAACACCGACAGCTACAGCGCTACAGTGCTATCCAATTGGCATTGGCAAAATATACTTTTGGGCAACAACTTAGATACGACCAAAAAAATAGTCGCGCCCGGGATCGAACCGGGAACCTTCTCGGTGCACTAGTGTGAGCGAGACGCCATGACCATTAGGCCACGCGACTTTCGATATTGTTTGCACTGTTTTTTATTCTTGTGAGAGAGATGACATCCAGCCTCTTTGAGAACCTTGCAGGTAACTCACAGAACGTAATTTTCGATGCCATAATATTCCAGCGTAGAATATTTATTTGAGACTGATATTTAAAGAGTTTTAATAAGATTTATCAACAGTTATCTACAAGAGACTTTGGAATATAAAACGAAAAGGGTTTTGAGATATAGCATGTGTAGAGAATATCACACTATGTAGTGTTGTATGTTCGGGCAGGCTGGTCACTTGCTTACAAAACCTGGAATTATTTCCTTTTGTTGCCTCAAGTTGTTTAAGTGATATATCTATTGTAATCTAAATAGATTATTAATCAAGTCGCGTGGCCTAATGGTCATGGCGTCTCGCTCACACTAGTGCACCGAGAAGGTTCCCGGTTCGATCCCGGGCGCGACTATTTTTTATTCTTTTGTGTGTGAACAATAGTAGTCTAGCCTAGCATTTGTTCTGAACCTGATCCATTCTGTTTCCGCACTAATTGGCCATTTATCTTGCCAGGAAGAACATTTTTTATAGAACATGTCTTTCTTGGCCACAATGGGAGAGAAGAGCATGTGCTGGACAACAAGCATACCCAAAACCACTGGCTTTTCAACAGTTAGTTAAATATGAGAAGACTTGGATCGATTTAACGAACCCTGAGCCTACATTTTATAAGCTTCTTTCTAATCCATGGATGTATATACTAAAGTTTACAATCAGGCTATAACGACTACAAGTGGCTTTAAAAATGTATATGTAGTTGGCCACTAGAAAGACTAGAGAGCAATGTCTTAAACCTGCACTCTAGTCGTGTTCTAATACATACATCTCCCTCACGATATGGTTCGAGGGAGCTCCTAGCTCGAGTTTCCCAAGATCGAACATAAATCTTATCTCTAGTCGCGTGGCCTAATGGTCATGGCGTCTCGCTCACATTAGTGCACCGAGAAGGTTCCCGGTTCGATCCCGGGCGCGACTATTTTTTTGTTCTTCGTGTGTGAACAATAGACCGTTTAGCCTAGTGTCTGTCTTAATTCCATTCGGTCTTCTTGCCATGGTTGGTCCTCTTACCTTAGTCAGGTAGGAATAGTTATAAATTTTTGTATATTTGCGAAGTTATATCTTTCTTAATCTATCCTATGAGCTTCTTTCCGATCAATAACGAACTATAATTTATGATTTATTGAGCTATACTGCCTGCCATGGGTGACATTATATACGGCTCAGCGGGAAATGCAATTGACCACTGGAAAGCAGGGTCTTAAAACGCCCAGGGTTGCCCCGGTGGCTGCATTACTCTCTTTGGAGCTTAGAGGGTAGGTAGTCAAATTGATTGCATTGCATCCAGCTGTTGGAAGTAAGTTAGTGTTTACAACTCAATATTTGAACCATCAAACGCAGCTCTCTTCACAACATCTACTCCTGTGAATACCAGCAGACTGTAGAAGTCTTCCTCTCTCTTTACCAAAAGGAATATCTTAATAATATTCCTTTTGGCCGCCAGACAATGCTCATGCAATATCAGAAGGACTCGCAGGAAGAAGCTTCAGATCGAGAATCAACTCCTGGCATGTTACGACAATATGACGACTCTTCACCGGATTGGCAATGATTCTAGTTCTCGAATTGACTATCCCAAGGCGTAGAGTGTGCTGTTTGATTAACTTACGTAGAACCGCTAGCTAGGTCATAATTTTAAACTCTTGGAAAGGGCTTAATAAATTCTACATGGGATCTATAGCACATGTCCGAACACCAATCCCTCCCTTCTTGATATCGACTACTAGTCTAGCAGAATACTGAATCAGGTTGATTGGGATATATGTGACTTACTTCGACAATTACTATTGTATCGTGGACCTAGGCTTTAGATCACAGGATGCTAATGGTACGCATAGAACCTCCAACCCTGGCGAATTTCCGCAGAACGGTACCAAGGCTCTTTATAACACTGAGGGTGTTGCTTCTACCCCTATCAGCAGAGCCGGTTTCACTTAGACTTACATCACAGGTATGCACGCTGTTACTGTACACCCTACCAACTATATCACGACAACCAATACGACTGGGAATGGTGCCAGTACTACAAGTCATGCAACCGCTTACATGGAGACCGGGAGCAATGGCATGGTAGTACAGTGATGGGGGTGGGTTCAGTCTTTGGTGCGTCATCATCTTGGATATTCATCGGTCTAGTCGGTATATCAGGCCTGGTATTGTCTAGTCATTGAGCTACTTAAGTGCATGGAACATTTTTTATGCGAATCTTGATTATGAATTCTGAACAGAAGACCAAACAATATAATTATATATATATCCAATTTTGTCTGCTCCCACCTAGCCTCGGCGCAAACACGATGTCCATGGCCGCCTCCACCCCGTCCTTGCGAGACAACCTTGCCATCAACCGAGATGTTGAGCACAAGATCTAAGCATGCCCCTCGAGGCAATGATACATGTGTTTGCGTTACTTGAACCTGTGAATAGTACAGCTGGAACTACAGCTCTATTGGAATATTCAAGTCACAGTAAAATTCGAAGAAATAAAGTGCATTATACTGATATCATTCTTCACGTAATTCACCTGGTGATTATTCCATACTCTATAGACAACCATGCTCGATCTGGTATTTGCGAGGGTGAAGGGTGGGCAATGCGAAAAAACAACCCGTGGATGGATGCCACGGATTGAAGAACGGGTGGGGAGAGGGGGAAGGTATGTACATTTCATAAATGCATGCTGGAAGACCACAAAAACTGCGCACACGGGGATGGGAAGGGGAAAAAAGACGCGAAGATACACGTCAAAGTAGACGGCGGGAGTTGCTTTGGGCCCAGCCCCCGGATCAATGGTCTCTTACCACCGAGATTGAAGCTGTGCTCTTGGTAGAACAGAAAATATAGCGATGGAATCTAGTTCCAGGGAAACTAGCGAGAACATTGGATACAAGGGTTGTCCGAGACCATTTGAGATGGCCTCGGAATCCCACAATGTACGATACCAATGTTCCACTGCTGACGACGCCCACATTTTCTTCCAAATACAACCAAGAGATGAATCACAACAGCCAATTCTAGTGGCACAGCATGCTCGATGAATGTGTCAACAGTGATGATGGAAATGGTGACACCATCTTCCGATAATAAAAAAAGCCATCAGATCCGTTAAACGCCAGAAAGGAAACCCCGTGACCAACAATACATGCAAGCTCCAGCTGGAAACTCCTAAGAGTGGGCCTAAGAGATGCACACAGCCGAATAAATAGACCGGGGAAAAGGAGACGCAGGAAGATGTGGCAAGCACTGAGCACTCCGGCATAAGTGTCAATATCTATGGCGAGGCCCAGCCACCAGCCACTTCCACCCATTCGGGGAGACAGCTGCCTTGTTTGCCCTCGACATCGACAATGTCAGTGTCGCAGCGGCATCGGCAACCGACACCGTTCTCCTTGACTTGATCAGGGTTCGCCCAGTACTCGTCTTCCTCGATCCGTTTCTTCTCGTCATCGGTGGTCTTCTCGAGGTAAGGGATACGGGTGAGTTGGCGTGCCGGAGCGTTGGCTGGGCAATGCTGAATGGTAGTGTGCCGGTAGCCGAAGTCACGGAAGTAATGAATATCACTAGGCGCGAGGAGAGCACCAGCGGCGAGAGAGTGAATAGGAGCATCACCCCACTAGTACAGTCAGTAAAGATCCAGTAGGGTTGAAAGACATAATATAACATACCCGCTCATTCCAAAATCCTCCACTTCTGTCCATCATGGTGAAAAAGTCCTCATACTCCTTGCTGCGGAACCAATCTAGACGGGCAATCTCGAAGTTGCTCCAGAAATGGCACATGTTGTAGCTCTCGCCTTCCATGGCCTCTGGGTCCACGTCCTTCAGATGGTGGTCACCGGGGTCAGTCTGCAGAATTTCATCTGGCAATTTGTCCTTCTTTTCCTCGGGAGGAGTTTCTGGTTGCGCTGGCTGCTCTAGGAACATCTCCCACAGACCCTTGGACTTGAGGTTGTTCTTGCGCTTGTAAGCAGCCGCATACCGGAAGATATTGGGGACAGTCTCGCGAAGCTCTTTCACTGCAATTGTGAAGCCGTAGGTTTTGTTTGCCTCGGCCATCTTGAGGAATGGATCACTAAAGTAACAAGTCAGCAGATTGACCAAAAAAAACATGCCACGGTGGGTATCGTACTAAGTGATGTCGCAGAAGTACTTGATCTCGGGCTCCAAACGCCAGTACCACTCGTACTTCATCAGCAGAGGGTGCTTGTAGAAGTGTCTATCGCAGAGTTAGCTTTATAATCCAAGTTGTCCTAAATCAACCATTGAAGACTCACCCTGAGTAGAATCGGCACATGTGGTGATAGCTTTCCATTCCACCGTACATGATGGCGGCATCACCCTGCTTCCTGATGCCCTCTTTGGCAACCTCATGGTCAACCCAATCAGGGAAGCCCCACATGCTGTTGTCAATCTTGCCGAACTCAACATCTGCGCTGGTGTAGTTCTTGACCGTTGCCTTGAAGTCCTCGTCGAAGTCACCATCGTTGAGGAAAACATAGGGGTAGTGCCACCACCGGTTGAAGTGTCTCTCAATCGACTTGAGCGACTGGATCACACCATCCAACTCCTTATTTCTAGCAAGGACGACGAATGCGGCGTTGGCGCGGGGAGCCTTTGCGATTTGCTCGGGCTCAATAGGCATACAGCCCGTAGCAAAGACTTTATCGTGCTTTTCGCTGATTTTTCTGTAAAGCGCAGGAGGTTAGCCATCGGACACACGACCATGGATTGACAGGGCGATACGAACCGGATAGAAGGCGGAGTGCCCGCTGGAATTAGGATCCCCCCGGGAGAGGCAGGGTGTCGGACAAAGAGGAGCAGAATAAGGACAATTACAAGGCATGGAAATAGTAAAACAAGACCCAGGGGTATAGAAATAGACGAGTTCCCCTTCAGGCGAATCCTCCGTCGGAAAAAGGCGAATCTAGGATGGAGGCGACCTTTCTCGGCTGGAGCATCTTCCAATGGCAGACTCGGCGCGCTGGGCAGCCGTTTCGTAATGCGTTGGATGAAGCTCATGAGTGCGATTGTCGTGAGACCCCACGAATAACAGTAGAGGTCAAGCTGTCAGGCCAAAGCGACAGCACGGGGCCGTTAGGGAGATAGCGGAGAAATCGTGTCGGAGGTGTGATCAGAAGATGAATGTGTCTTGATCGGGGTTAAAAAAAAAGTGATGAGCACACGATCAAATCAAGTTTGGACCGTATGGATCACAGGAAGATCTGAAAGTCGAAAGATCTCGCTTGAAAATGGAGAAAATGACAGCAAAACGAGTGGCCGGAGGAATGCCTCCTTTCCTCCCCCAACTTTCTCAGTCCCACGGTAAATAGATGGGGAGAGCGTCGGGAGCAACGCGGGCAACTGTGAACAGCAAGGTACACAGAGGAGAGATTGGGGACATCAACTGAGGGTGATGAAGAAAGAAGACGGATGGGGAATGGGAAGATGGGATGGGTTCCAAAAGGTTGCTTGCGCCTCCCTGGTCTTGGCGAAGTCCGGTGGCCTCTTGTCACCCCGAGACGGTTATTTTTGCCCCTAGTTGCGGTGCAGTGGCGGTATAGCCAGTATTATATGGTATTTATGGTAATATTCTTTTTGTGTGCGATTGTCCTTTGCTTCTTCTATATTTCATATATCTTTTTAGTATTGCCTTTATTTATTTGTAGAGTATCCCCTACATTTTAGATTGTCCCGGACTTGGTGCTCTCTTGCGCGTCCTTTGTTCTTGTACCGGAAGCGTGATTGGCTTCTGGCGTCTAGGGGCCAGGTGATTTTAAACGGCAGCGTACCGTACTAGCCCCTAAGCTAACGAAGAAAGCTTGAGATTTTAATTTCATCTAGAACTATCTATGCTTGTGCTCGTGTACTTTGTACTTTGTACAAACTCTACTTGAGTCCCCCAGGAATATGCGATAGTACTCCGTCCAGTTTATTGTATACAATATACATGCGTACGTAGTCCACTTGACTTGACCCACAATTTTTCGGCCCTATGGGGCAATTGCGCATATTGTATACACTGTGATGAATATGAAAAGATATTGTTTGGCATGCCTAGAGTTTATATGGCTGGTCTTCACATTGACCGTGATAACTTGAAAGCTGTCAGAGTCCTGAGTCGATTTGACGCATCTGTATGTACGGAGTAGCCAATACAATCTCTAGACTTAGCGCATGACGATCGAGGGTCCAAACTGCCCCCGTTAGACCCGAAATTAGCGCCTGTAATGATTTCCTCGGCACGTCTAACCCTGTCATCTGCTCGGATTCAGCCTCTGTTTGTGCCTATTATTGAGTGAAGTACCTGGTACAAGATATTTTGTACTCACAGGGGCGTATATGCAGGTACTGGGTACATACCTCTGTCTACGGCGTTAAAATCATAAGTTCTGCAAGTGATACATAGTTATACAGTGTAATTTATGTAATTTAAAAGGAATCCAATTTAATTGCAAATTTAATGGGTCTCATCCAAGGTCTGGACCCTTTGTATTTTACATAAATTTGTATAAATGTGTTTTGATTTTTTTTTTTTTCCTATATCTTCGCCTGTGCCCACTTACATACCTACATATCTAGGATTACGTATACAGTGTTTATTGCTCGAATACAACTTATATTCACCTACAATATAGTTAGGCTAATATATCCCACACTCCAGGACATATATAATTTCCCATGCACGTTGTAGATCCCAACTTGCCCGTTTTGAAGCCAAAGGGTCAGAAGGCTTGGTTCCGAGATCATCCCCGTCATCCCCCATCATCCCTCTCTCCGCATGACAATAACTATATGGAGTCACCGTGGGGTTCCCCCTTTTCTTTTCTTTCCTTTCACCAAGCCTCAACATGAATACAGTACTCGCTCAGCCCTTCTCTGAGGGCAAACAGATCAAACTCCCCGAACCCGGCCCCTCGTCTCATTTCCGGCATCATAATGGAAATTTGGATCCCTTTTCGCCTGTGAACGAAAATGGAAGTTTCGAATTCGATCGAGTCTTGAAGACAGGGAAAGTCTCTCGCCGAGTCAAGCATAAACATGTCTTTCGCGCCTCGTGGAAAGCAGCCTACCTCGTCCTCAGACCGAACCTCCTTTCCGTATACAAAGACGAGGAAACCACTCGCCTCCGAGTCTCCATTTCCCTATCTGAAGTGACCGCCGTCGCGCCCGTCAAGTCCCCGCGATCGGGCCGGCGGCATGTTTTCGGTGTTTTTACTCCATCTACGAATTACCGCTTCGAAGCCCTGACCGAACGCGATGCCGAGGACTGGATTAATCGCATCCGTGCCGAGACCCCAGGCGACGAGGACGAGCAAGCTTTCCTGGCTTTGACCCAAAAGCGCGAACCCCCCACCATCCACAAACAACTCGTTGATGAGACAACCGATCCCTCCGACTTCGATCACACTGGCTGCGCTAGCTCTCCCGAGCCACGCCATGCATTGTCCCCACGCAGCAAAAATGCCCAGAGACTCCCTTACATCCAAGATTACTCCGGCAACGAAATGACCTCGTTTTCAGAGTTCTCCGATGGACCTGCGCCAGCACCCAACAGCCGCCTACGATCTATGCGCTCCCTCAATTCACTGTCCGTTCCAGCAGAGGATAAACAAGGACCCCGGCCGTCAACATCTATACTCCGAGACACAAACAAACAGTCAGAACTGGGCATCCTGCGTGACCCAGAGCGGGTCATCTGCCAGGGGTACCTGCAGGGGCTACGTATCCAAGGGACCGTGCGCCAATGGAAACGACTCTGGGTTGTGCTTCGACCTAAGAGTCTAGCCTTCTACAAGGATGAATCGGAGTACGCAGCCATCAAGATCATCCCCATGTCTCAAGTATTTGATGCCGCAGAAGTGGACCCTCTGTCGAGATCCAAGACCTTTTGCATGCAGATCATCGCCGAAGAAAAGACCTATCGACTTTGCGCCCCAGAGGAAGAGTCCCTCGCGCGCTGGCTAGGTTCATTGAAAAGCATTCTTGCTGCGCGCAGGAGATTGGATCCTTCTATGGGAACTTCCGTATCATGACCCTCACTCTACGCAGTAGAGCCTGTTTTATTACTCTACCTATTCCTATTCCCTTCGCTTCATCTTCCCCACATCTCAGCGGCCCTCTTTCTTCATCTTTTACCTTTTCCATCTTTTCTTTCAATATACCCAGGTTGGTGATTTCGTTTTGACTACTCGTCTCGTGGTGAGTTCGGAGTCTTCACGGCACAGATTGGCGTTAGTACCTTCGTTGCACATTCAGTGGGTGAAGGGGATTTCTTTCTCATCACGAAGCTACCCAGCTTTTTTTCTACCTTTCATTTCTTCAACACCCTTGTCTCTTGATTTCATTCATCGAGGCGATGCATACTCATCGTGCATCCATCCTTCTCACTGTCAAGTCTGGCATTTTCCCTTGTCTGTCTTCTTCCATTTCATTGTCTATATTGAGCACCTATTATGTATCATATTACTTCGGGCCGTAGTACTCTAGTGCATAATATTAATACCGACGAGAAACATTACGTTGAACCCTTTGCAGCGAGAGAATCCGATACGGTTCTCCCAGTTCAGATACACCGTTTAGGTGTCTTTTTTTTGAGATATTTTCTAGAGGCTTAATTTGTGAAAGCGACTTTTCCATGTATAACCTGGGACTTCAATTCAACAGAACGTTGGTACCATACCTTTGGTTCATACAATGGCTCAGGGCTATACAATCCATGACGCCAATGAATGAATTTCGTGAGAAACTTGTGATTGAGAATCCCAGTTAATTTGCAGTAACTAACATGCTTGGGATAGCTTCAAACCCTAATTCAGCCTGCATGCCAAGGATCTTGGACTCCTTTGGAGTCGAGATTAGCGCCTCGTGCAGTTTAACACTTTTATCACATATTCCTACATACGACTTGATGCAAGCTGTATCACCGCATTCCCTCCATTTTTTCTTGTTTCCGTTCCTGTTGCCATCGCCAACTTTTATCTGTATCTATAGGGGTATAGGGTGAGAGTTATCGGCTTTCGAATCTAAATCTCAATGCGAGAAACGTGACGTCTACTAGAATAGTCAGCCAATATATAACTCATGGGTGGATTCGTGTGCAAGACTTTTGCTATTATTTACGGTCTATACACTGCCTTCGTCCTCTTTTATGTTGTTTTATTCCAAGGTTAGTTGATTCTATTAGTACTATGCCAGCTATAGGGAGTAAGTATCAGATCAGGCAGAGCCTCCCGCGGATTAGACAGAGCGTAGCGTGGATAGGGCCTATACTTCCTTTTTTAACCTTTACTTTTATATATTACACTTAGTTCTATCAACTGTCATATAGTATCTCACATATCCCTTCAAAAACGTATTTTTTTAATACATTGGGCCTATTATTTTCGTCACTTGAGCGGCATTTTTGGCACTTTGCTTCTATGTTTATCTTTTATTTAGTTCTTTCATTAGTACTCGTTATAGCATCGTTAAATGATAAGATGACGCTCTAGGGCGGCCGGAAATCTTGCGTGGATATACATACCAAAGCCATTATCAAAATACCGCCATTCAGTAGTATGGCCTTCCGTCCTTAAAGATCCTCAATAGACGAACACGTTGTTTGGTTATGTGGACAGTCAACCGAAACCTATGAAATGCATGCGCGGAGGTGGAGCCAATGAGAATGAGAATGTTGTTGAATGGCTCTATAATCTATATTGGGACTACCAGCCCTTCGGCTAGGTAGCGAAGGGTAGCCGGAAAAGATGCTAAATTGTTATATGAACAAGCTACAGTGTGTAGCGATAAATACAAAAACCTCCCTAGGCTCAAACTAACGCATTTCCTCTTCTTCAACAGGAATGCTGTTATACTCGCCCGAGAAGGATCTGCCTGCTCCATCGGTAGTAGCAAGATCGTCCTCAGGCTTACTCTCGTGTTGCACAACCAAGAACGACGAGACCACGATAGCTGCTCCAACCCAGTACAAGGGGCTGGAGTATTGTGACTGTAGGACCATCTGTCCAATCAAGGAGAGCGGGATAGTCATACTGAGCCCAACTGTCACGATAAGCGGCGTGGTAAGAAGCATAGCGTAAGCCCAAGCAATATCAGAGACAAATGACGCAAGCGCGTTAGACTGATAGATGTGAGGTTAGTCAACTAATAATCAAAGGTGAGCAAGAGAGTTGGGAGTCATACCAGAATGATGAACCACACTCGCGACGCTTCGGGCAAGGAGAAGGTCTCCATTCCAGTCCAGTGCATGATGAAGAAACCCGGCCACAGAAAGATAATGTTGAAGAATCCAACTAGTCCAAAGAACAGTGGCATGTTTACCCGGGACTCGTCGCCAACTTGTTTCTTCATCACGACAGTGTAAAGACCGTACATGATGGCACTGAACGCCGCCATGGCATCGCCGAGAGCAATCTCCCCTGTGGACTTGTGGGGGAATGAACCCTCACTGCCATCTCCAGCATCACCTGTGTCTGACGCAGAGAGATCTACGCGCGAAATCAGGATAATGCCAATCAAAGAAGCTATGACACCCATGAATTTGCGCATAGTGAATTTCTCAACACGGAACAGGGCGCCGAAGACCATGGTCCACACACCTAAGCGAGTAAGAGTGAGAATTGGATTTTGGACATATATAGATAGGGGAATCCTTACCACTGGTGGAAGTTAGAATGGTTGTGCTTCCCACTGACGTGAATTGAAGGCACCCCATGGCAAAGTAATTCGCCTATCCAGAAACACTTCCGTTAGTTCACTTCCAACACATAAGATACCACATCAAGAGGTGTACGACATACGGTAAACTATAATAGGTTAGCCAGCTGGTCATATATCCAAACTTTAAGGTTGTTTGCTTACCCAAAGAAGACAAAACTGAATACTGAGTCTAGCCGTTGCTTTGAGCCCTAGCTTTCCACTTGGAGGATCCTGTCTCTCCTGTGCGAATCGCCCACCCTCTTCATCGGAGCCACTGCGCAGCATGCTCTCCTCCTCGGCCTTGGGATCATGCGAATCCAAATGATTCAAAAAGCTCTTTATCGAAGTGATCTTAGAGAGTTTCCCATGGCGCCAAAGTGCGAATGTTCGACGAGCGACAATTATAAGGAGGGGCATCATAAACATGGACGTATTCGTATAAGTGACGAAGAAAGGTTTCGGGTAGGTTCTATCGGCGAAGATGGTCTGGATGGCATTCGATGTGTAATTAGCCATATGTTTGCAGCAGTATATGCCTTGTGGGTTATGAATTATGAATCAAAAAAGAGGGCGCGCATACACTTCCAAGGAAATTCGAGGTCGTCCATAGCACAACCACCACTAGGAGCAGGATGATTCCTAATGTTCGCCGCGCCATCCCTAGCGGCATCACGCCGGGTACCTCAGGAGTGGCCGAGACCATGGTAATTGTAGTTTGTGAGAGGTTTGTGAAAAAGGGTAAATTTGCGTTGCTTGTCAGGGTGTTATCAGGAGCCCCGTGTTGCCGATGTCGCAATCGCTACGTTTGCAGCCGAGGATTCCGAGTTGGACGGAATATCAGTCGGGCTGTCACCTGAAGAGCGATATATATGCGGGGCAGATGAGTGCCACGAGACTTCCTGCCTAAAGAGTGTTGGAAGAGAACACGGGGTTAGATGCCAAGCATTCTCGAGATAAGGGTCCCGGGTGGGGAGAAATGTAGTCGCCGATATTTGATATTAGGGGCATGTTCACCCCCTGCTATCTAGCGAATCATGGAATTCTCCCTGGATTTAATCTAACCTGGTCTACAGCGGGTTGGGAGCATTGGATCTATTCTATACCTATATGTAGAATAAGTATAATGGTCGATATGGATGCAATCCTGGAAAAACCTCAGGTTTACATAACTTGTTGGTATATGCAGCACCAGCATACCGGAATACCGGAGGATTTATTAATCCTCCAATATGCAGTAATATTTCTTATGTAATCAGGATAGTATAAATTGTCAGAATAGTGGATACAGAAAGACAGAGACTTGAATACCATTGATTGGACCCTTATAATACGGAATACCACCTGTGTGGACAGTTATGAGCCCGGATCGCACTGAATGAACCTGCTGTAGTCGAAACACAGCACGATTGAACCCCTGAAGCTGCCGAAAAGAGCAATTGTGAAGCTATTCCCAGCTACCCCTGAATTGTATCTAGCAATGGAGACAGCATCGATTCTCTCCGCCACGAAGGGCGAAAAACTGAAGGATGAAACGCAATGGCGTACCTGGTTCACGAGAGTGAGGTCGTACGCGAGGCAGAAAGGTGTATGGGAGCTGTGTGACCCTGAAGCTGTGATGGCTGAGATCGCTGCTGTATCTACCGCGATAGAGAAGCCACTAATTCGGCCCGACCTCCTTACCGAACCGACAGTCCCCGAGTATCCCGAGGAGGGGGATGCAGAGGAAAAGAAAACCTGGAGAGATCGGATGGACCTTTTTAAAATCAAGTATGCCCGATGGCAAAGCGAGGCGAAAGGACTGGCCGATGTTAACGAGTATATCTTGATATACCTAGACCCGGTACACCATCTAGCTATTATACCGCTGGAGACGCCTTATGAGAGACTGGTCTATTTGAAATCCCGTTTCGCCCAGACGGTCACGTACCGAGAAGAGATCCGAATGAAATGGAGATATTTCTCTACCTAAAGACTAACGGGAGATATCGAGCAGTGGATCCAGAAGTGGGACTCGATGAGAGAATTGACGATTAGTCTTAGAATCGATGATAGTAATCCGAATCGAGACTTTATATACGCAGTAAAGGACGTACTGCTAATGTGGTGGTAAGCATAATACCAGGACATTATCGCTGATGGGAAGCCGGTCGATACTCGAGTCCTTATCGAGTCCTTCCGTGCGATGAATAACGATATTGGTGTGAAGACAGTGTCGTCGATAAACGCCCCGAAAAGCGCATTCTCTACCTAGTAAGGTTATTAAGAAGCGAAGCCGGATACCCCGTACGAGAAACGGAGGTGTCCCTGCGGCGATAGGCACCCACAGCATTCTGTGCGTACGTGCTGGACTGTGAATGAAGTAATCCGCCCGGAAGGGAAGCCTATAGACTAGAGAAAGGTGGACCGCGTAAATGAGTAACTGTTAAAGGATCTAGGATGGAAGAAGTGGGTGGATAAGACGATAGCAGGAGCTAAACCGAAAGCCGACCGGCCCGAGCCGAAGGTTGAATCGGCTAATGTCCTAACCAGCTTTATTACGATGACGAAGCATGCCCTATCCGCTAGCGAGGTGTCGCTTTGAGATAGATGGATCCTCGATTCGGGATCGAGCGCGCACGTGTGTAATAATAAGGACCTATTCGTTAACCTTCGGCCCGACGCGATAGAATTGAAGACGGGAGATGGATCTACCTGAGTACTCGGTCGAGGCACGGTCCGCTTAATAGGAAAGCACCCCCAGAGGGGACGAATGGAGATCACGTTAAGCGACGCACTCTATTCGCCGACGTTTCACACTAACCTGGTGTCGTACGCGTAATTAAAGAAGAAGGGTGGCACGTGGTGCCAGGAGACGAACTGTATCCGAGACCCTAATAAGAACCCGGTCGTTAGCGTACGATTATGGGACTAATTTGATCTATGGATTTTTGACCAGCCCGACGAAGCGCTCCCCCCATAGCAAGCATTCGCTGCTACCCCGTAAAGAGCAGTAACGACACCGAGGAAGTCAGTTAAGACGCAGGAATCGAAGGCTTCGGTGGAGCTCTGGCATAGAAGGTTCGCGCATATCGATCGGAAGACGGTAGTAAAGCTTGCTATAATGGTCGACGGTGTTAATATCCAGGAAGAGAAGCTGATAACGCCGACAGCGACGTCGGGATCGAGATCGGTACCGATAGGAGAAGAAGCACCACTGTGCGCGACGTGTTATATCGGGAGGGCACCGAGACAGATCTCTCGACGGCCTATAGGACGCACGTTTAGACGATTCGGAAGGATTCATTTCGATCTGATACAGCTACCGCCAGCGTATAATAAGCATAGATGGATCTCTCACTTCTATATCGAGGGAGTTAGATTTCACTGGCTGATGACACACGAGATGAAACCAGAGTGTCAGTTAGCTATTAACCAGTTTATTGAACTAGCTAAGAATCAGTGGAATTTGCCTATTAAGGCATTCCACTACGATAATGAGCTTTCAGCAGGTAAGAAGGCCGAATATAGTCTAACGAGCGACGGTATCCTAATCTATCATACCCCGCCAGCACACGCGGAAATGAACGGATACGCTGAGAGATCTGGTGGCATGATAATCGTCCGAATGCGGATGCTAGCGCTCGAAGGGAAGCTTCCGAAGGAATTATGGCCCTATTTCGCCGGTGCCGCCGTGTGGATGCTAAACCGTACCCCGACGTATATTGCTTCCGAGAATCGGTGGATCATACCGTGGGAGGAAGTGCGGAAGGAGTTCTTAAAGGGCGCGATTCCACCCTGAATTAATCTCGCGAAAGTGAGGTTATACGGAAGCTTAGCGTACTGTCGAATTGAACACTAGGTGAAGTCAGATAAGATGAATCCTCGCGCAGAAGTTAGATTCCTAGTTAGATACGTGGCGTCTAATATCTATTAGATCTGGTTTCCACACTTAGGAAAAGTGAGGCATATCAGGGATGCTATTATAGATGAATCTCGTAAATACACACCGGATTATGAGAAATTCCAGCCGATTCCTATGCCGCTAGCCAAGGAGCTAGAAGAGATCTCACTCGCTGAGATTACCGAACTGGTAAACCGTGAATTAGCGAGTCGGGAACCTGTCGGGATACTGGAAAGGACTCGCGAGGAAGATGACCGGGAAGATCGCGAGCAGTAAGCTCCCCCACCACTAGAAGCCCCGCGGGATGAAGACGAAAACGAAGATAACGAGACCTTTCGGCCCGACGACGAAGGAAATGTGACCTTTCGGCCCGAAGATAAAGAAAATGAGGCTACTCGCACCACCCTAAGTCAGGGGGTGAGAGATACTACCCCACCTTAGGGGGTGAGTACCTAGGTAAGCATGCCTAGACTGCGACAATGCCCATTAAAGTGGAGACACTTTTAGCGTCGCCAAGAAATATGCGGGCACTCTTGGCAAAGTGAATATTGCCAAGAACTAGTTATGTACATAAAATAGCCTAATAGGGCAATTCCTGCATTAATTTTGCATAATGGTGGGCGATGGGCGTTAGATTTCAAAAGGCCCACGGGCCGTGGACACTTTCTAGTGCCCATGGACGGGCGATGTCGCAGTCTAAGCATGCCTACCCCGATAGGACCGCCGAGAATGGCGATAGGTGAAATCTAAGAGAGAAGCGAACCCCAGAAAGCAGTGCCAGGTGCTTTCCCGGCCGAGGACCTGCCCCCGCTGCCGAATACGCCTCCGCACGAGCCCGAATCGGACGCTGACCCTGGTTAGGGGGTGGATATAGGTGATTAGGATGATCATCTAATAGAAGACCAGGCCCAGTAAGAAGAAGATCGGACTAATGAAAGTGAAGAGGACGATCTAGAAAGACAGCTATAATCTGAATTGCTAGCACTAAGCAGAGAAATCAACAGTAGTGTAGACGTCAGTAACATACTGATAGGAAATCGTACGCGTAGAGCACGAAGAGATGACGATTACGCCTACGCGACTACGATCAAGATAGCTCCAGAAGGAGAAGAACCGCCCGCCTTCCTACACGCTTTCGCGGTAGGTTTATACGCCGAGAAACCAGATACCCGTCGTCACCGAGACGACCTTCTACCGCCCCCGAAACACTGGAAAGAGGTCCTAAATCACCCTTTTCAGTAAGGATTTCTCGCAGCAGCAGCGAAGGAAATAAGGTCGTTAGCCGAGAAAGAGACGTTTGAGGTTATCGAGAAACTAAGAGACCGAGGAGTACAGATACTGCCGTTAATGTGGGTCTTTACCTACAAATTTGATGCGGACGGATACCTGGTGAAGTTTAAAGCCCGCATTTGCGTACGTGGAGACCTCGAAACGATCACGTACCAGGAAAAGAGAGCTGCGACACTAGCAGTAAGGACCGTAAGGATGATCTTCGCTTTAGTCGCCGCATTTGATCTGAATCTGCGACAGCGGGACGCTGTTACCGCGTTCTTGAACAGTAAGCTGGAGTAAGAGACGTACTCGCATATGCCAGAAGGATTTTAGATCCCAGGGAAGTGCTGGAAGTTACGGCGAGCACTGTACGGACTACGGATCTCGCCGAGACTATGGCAGTAAGAAGCTTCGAAGGTGCTACGAAAGCTAGGACTAAAGTAAGCACCCGAGGATCCCTGTGTGTTTACTGGGGATGGAATTTTAGTCTTCTTTTACGTGGATGATATCTTAATTACTAGTCATCCTGACGTTAAGAAGCAGGCTGACCAGCTGGAAAGAGATCTGGAATCGCACTGGGAACTGACAGATCATGGAGAAGCAGCATGGTTTTTGAATATCCGGATACTCCGAGATAGAAGACAAAAGAAATTATGGCTATGCCAAGATAGCTATGTGATAAGCATCGCGAATCGATTTAATCTGATAGACCGACCACCGGTCTATACACCACTGCCTATCGAAGAATTGACTCCCTACACGGGTGCCGTAACCCCACAGGAGATCCTATTATACCAGAAGAAAGTGGGATCCGCAGGGTATACGACGACGATCACCCGACCCGACGCTATAAAAGCGACCGCACGATTAGCTCAATTTTTGATAAATCCTGGACCGGAACACCAGAGAGCTGCTGATAGAGTCATTACGTATCTGTATACCACGCGAAATCTCGCGATCGAGTATAGTGCCGAGGTCGAAATGGACTCGATTCAGTTCGCTAGCGATGCTTCGTACGGAGACCACTAGGATAGGAAGAGCTCCGCAGGGTATATTTACCAGGCGTACGGAGGCCCGGTCGACTGGAAAGCGACTAAATAGCCGACCGTAACGACGTCCACCACGGAAGCCGAGCTGCTCGGGCTATCTGAAGCCGGAAAGCAGGTTTAATGGTGGCGCCGACTACTCGAAAGCCTTGGTTTTATTCCATCCCACCACCTGACGATCGATTGCGATAACGAAAGGACGATTGGATTATTGACGAGCGAAGACACGGCGTTTAAAACGAAGCTTCGGCACGTGGATATTCATCGGCACTGGCTTCGGTAAGAAGTTCGGGAAGGAAGGATTCGCGTGCGATGGGTAGCGACAGCGAGCATGGTTACCGACGGACTGACGAAGCTGCTATCTCGGCAGAAGCACGAGAATTTTCTCAGGATGCTGAGGATGGTAGATATCAGCTATATGCTGGTTTAGATGAGAAGAGACAGCGATCCCATACTGGGACCGCTGAGGGGGTGTGTTGGTATATGCAGCACCAGCATACCGGAATACCGGAGGATTTATTAATCCTCCAATATGCAGTAATATTTCTTATGTAATCAGGATAGTATAAATTGTCAGAATAGTGGATACAGAAAGACAGAGACTTGAATACCATTGATTGGACCCTTATAATACGGAATACCACCTGTGTGGACATAACTCAAGGCATACTATCCAGAGATGAGATGCAACGTAAATAAAAAAATTCAGACAATAAGATTGTATACGTCAAACAGAACAAAGCTAGGGTTAGGGGACTCCCATCTAACTAATTTATGGGTGATACTTTTAGCTTATTAAAATATTGCCAAGACTCGCCTTCTTTCCTTCCATGTTCGATCGCTTCTAAATAACAAACGTGTACATTGAATATAGGGCAGTTTGCTCAAATGTCCCCTAATACTCGTATTTACATTTACAACATACGATAAGTACACATGTCCAATGGCTGCCATTAGGGGTAATCGGTCCTGATAATCGATCACCTGATGGTGGATTTATGTACTTTGATATAATACGCGACCAACTGCCTATTGCAGAAAAACGAAGATGGTATTGCATTAAGCCCAAAAAAGACACTGCCTGCATAGAACTGAATCCACAACTGAAACCAAGACATCTACAAGACACCGGGGGAAGGGCAAGGTCACCCGAAGCAAAACCCCTTGGTCTCCTCTACAGACTTAGAACCGGAGACTAAACAGATAGTAGGAAAAAGGAAAGACAAAGGAAATAGGTCGCTGGAACATCATGTGAATGGGAAGGGTATATCAACAGGCACAGCCATCACGGTCATTGTCTAGATGGATGTTGATCGGGTCGCTGAATTCACCGCTGAATTCTTCGGCCTCTTCCTGGGCAAGTGCACTCCGCGCGATAACTAAATAGTGATTAGCGAACCTGAAAAAGAACAGTGATTTTTGACAGAACAGCTAGGTAGTGGAATTTGACTCACCTTCAAATGCTTGCTCAACGTTGATAGCTTCCTTGGCACTAGTCTCGAAGTAGGGAATGTTACCCTTCGATTGGCAGAAAGTCATAGCCCGTTTTGAGGAGATCATACGCTTGTTCTCCTCTACATCGACCTTGTTGCCGATCACAACCTGCACATGACCATCAGCACGGACCAACATATCATTCTTGCTTGCTACGGCGCACGAGATAAGGAAAAGGAATGCGGGAGCACTACTTACGAATGGGAAACTCTCTGGATCTCTCGGGCTTGCCTGGATCAAGAACTCGTCACGCCAGCTGTCGAGAGCCTCAAAACTCTTAGAGTTGTTCACATCGTAGACCAGCACACAGCAGTCAGCTCCACGGTAGAAGGCGACTCCCAATGACTGAAACCGTTCTTGGCCTGCAGTATCCCAAATCTGACACCAAGTCAGTTATTACCCCTCATGACGATTGTGCTGGGGTCTCCAAAGCCTTACCTGCATTGTCACCAGTCGGTCGTCGACGAGAACTTCCTTTGTGAGGAAATCAGCTCCGATAGTGGCTTTGTAGCTTCCACTGAACTTCTTGTTGACCTATTGATCTCGGAAAATTGCATGTTAGCGGTTGGAGGGACTCGTCACCGACCGCGGTACGGCCGCAGAGAGGTAGTTGGGGGCGAGGTTGAACGGACATATTGGTTCATCAAACTTGTTTTTCCGACACCGCTGTCACCAAGGATGATAACCTAGATTTTCAAAAATGCGGCAGTCAGCAAAAAGTCCATTTTTTGAAGGATTCGGTGCTCCTAACACGGAGCAGGTGCGGAGATCATACCTTGAGGAGCACCTTCTTCCTTGACGCCATGGTTGGGAATCGGTCAAGTGACCGAGTCTAAATGTGCGAGGGATAAACAAGAAATTTGTTATTAAGCAGAGAGCTGTGATCAGCCTGCACTAAGCCTTTATAAAACAGATAAGGACAAGGCAGTTGGGGAGTTGGGGTCGGGTTGCAGTTGGATTCGATGATGCATGAGGGCTGGGCGGTGGAGCGGGCGGTGGGCAATTGATAACGATTAGCACCGCATCTCGCTCCCGAGGCGGCAACCAACTCCACTTCATCACATTCAAGTTCATTCCCATTTGCTTGGGAAGGCTTATGGCCCACTGGAGGGAGGAGTACTTGGCTGCCCTGACAGTCCGAGATCAGCGAGAAAAAGCAAATGCTACCCTTTACGATGCCTGTCAGACTATCAGTAATGCTCTTTGTTGATCGATTGCAACTGACATCATTTACCAAATCTAGATGCCCAGCTTGCAGATCGCACCAGCAAACTAGCAACAGCAGCAAAATGCGCTAGCCCCGCAACATCGCAGAGCGAAGCTCAACCCACCGTTCCATCTCCTATAGTTCCTCTATCCAGAAAGCAACGACCGACGGAGCCAGGTTCTACCCCGAACGATCTTCTCAATACTACCCGTGCAGACTTGTCCGAGGCACAGCGATTCCGCTCAGAATTACAAGAC